TGAACGTCACCGTACACATTACTTGGTCTCTGCTCCAAACTATTTGATGCTGTTAATTTTGGCTTACGTGTAAAAGGGAAATAACAGTGTTATATATATATTTTTTTCTTTCTTCATGGAGTTTTCAAAATTGTTTCCAAAGGCAAATAACATGGAAAAACGTTGCTAAATCTCACTGACTATTTATAGTATTCTCAGCATAGGTGGTTCCTTCCATCTTCTTTTCTCACTTTCTTCAAGGAGCCTGAACCAGCAGACTAACTCCTTAGTCCTTTGTTAGAGTCCGTATTTCTCTCTCGACCTCTCTCTACATCCCTGTCTCTCCTTATCCTCAGCATCACTTGGTTAAAATACAAAACAGCACAAGCTCACAGAGCGTGAACAAGGTAACAGTACATCATAGTCCCAAAGGCATTCTGTGGCCAGTGTCAGTAATACATCACTTTACGAAATCCAGCAGTCTCTCCCCACAGAGTTGCCGAAACATCCAGTTACAGGAGAGAGACTTAGACAATGCTCAATACTCTCAAATCCAGCAAGAGATTTCTTTTGGAATATTAAATGTTAAAATCACATGCATAATTATAGAATATTTTAAAGTTACAAAAATAGTTTAAAAACCAATCCTGACAGTTTACCTGCAACTGCTATAAAAATTTCTATGAAATATATAAAAAACACAAAGGCTCTTTGTAAAATAAAAAAAAACAAAAACAAAAACAAAACAAGAAAGAATAGAAAAAAAGTGAAAGGATGAAGCCACTCACAGAACTGAGAAGTACTTGACGCACTGCATCGGCCAGTCCTGTCAGACACCTGCTGCTGAACGAACTCAAGAGAAGGGCTTGTACCTTACATGTTTATTAAACACATACACATAGCTGTGAGCCTGGCTGCGGGTCGGCAGCAAACACGTCTAGGACCCTTAGACCATCAAATTCAACTCTCCATCTCTGAGGGAGAAGCCTCCTGTGTCATGAACCTCAGCTACCTGGCTTGGGCAATGTGGCTGAAGATGCCCTTGGTCAAGTCCGCCCGTGGATGGCTTAGTCACTGAACCCAGGGGTCGCCAAGGAGGTGCCTGCTTTTCAAGCAGAAGCACGTGGAAGGCGGGAGGCGAGGTTCCTAACCACGGGAGCGTCCGGCGTCTCCTAGGAGGTGGGGAGGTCTCCTTCCCCATTCTGGAAAATGACGCCGTAAGCATCGTTCTTGAGGCGCTTGTAGACAAAGTGGAAGATGTGGGGCTGTGGCCGGCTGTGCAGCTCAGCCTTGATTTTTTGAGGGTAGGTGTCCTCTGCCAGCTGCTGCCACGTTTCGTCGACAAAGAGGAAGAGTCTGTACTCCTCGGGGTCCCCCACCTTGAACTTCTCGGCACAGAGCTGACATACGTCCTCGGTGGTGACGTACGGTCGCACCAGGAGCGTCTTTCCCGTGCAGCCACTGTTCACCTCTTGGAAGGCAACTCGGAGGTAATTCTGCAGGTGGGAAGAGAGAGGTGGGGGCCGGGTGAGAAGGGGGAAACGAGCAGCCATAAGTGAGCGTGATGAGACGTGAGGGCGCAGTCTAACTGGCAAGCCACTCCTCAAGCAAGGCTCCGGCTCCTCCAGATCATGTCAGGATGCGAGGCCGCCAGGTGCAAGCACAGAGGCTGAGCTAAATGTGGGCGGGGGGGAGCAACGCTATGGACTGAGTGGTTGTATTCTAATTCCTTACAAATACAAGGAGCAGGAAGTTCACTGAGCTGGTCTGACCCCTGAGTGTCCTTCATGAACTCTGGGTAAGAAATCCCTAGTGAAGAGGGTGAGCCAGATCCGATACTGGGTGGATTCCCAGCTTGAAAAGTAACACGTGGACACAAGAGCACATGTACTTGTTTTGGACGACTTTTCATGAGGCGTAAGCAGGGGCAGTAATGTTAGGTTGGACCACAGGATACTGACAATATTTGACCATTCCACCTCCCCACATGGCGACTGTATGTAGTTCAATTTAATTTAAATGGCTCTCCATGCAGTATGGGAAAAGTCAGCAGGAGGAAAATGTCGATTCTTCCAAAAGGCTTTGGAGATGGAGCTGACTGAGTGCACAGTGGTGTTGGGGGATGTGGAGGAGAGGTTTGCAGGCTGGGCGCTGTGAATAGGGCCAGGTGCATGCCATCACAAAATACAATAGGCCTCCTGTATCACAGACCCAAAGCCCCGATGAGGCAGAAAGAATCCTACCCTCATAGCAGGCTCTCTGAGAGTCTGTGACCCTGAATAACTTCTTCAGTGTCCTCTTCTTTAGTAATGGGGTTCCCAGAGAAAATGGACAACACCTAGTTAAATTTGGTTTCTCAGGCTTAAAACAGTTTCCCTTTCTAAACTTTCTCAGGAGTGAAGGGAAGTGGTGCTTGCTCTGCAGGGTCTCCATGGTTACCATGAGGGTTCACTGGGATGTTGGAAGGGCAAGCTCCATCAGCGGGAAGGACTGTGCGCTCTGCACTGGTAATGGACATGCTGGAATTAGAACCTCAGCAACACACATCCTCCCTATTACCAACCCCTCCTCTCCATCTCCACCCCGACACCTGGCCCACACACCTGCTATCCATTTACTCACTGACTCCAGAAGAGGACTTTGTGAAAGTCTACATTTTTTGCATTTGACTAGTGAAGAAACCGAGGCACAGAGAGGCCGAGCAACTTGTCCAAGGCCACACAGCTACTGAGTGGCAGGCCCAGCCTCTTCACCACTGTTGTGTGCTGCTTCTCCAGTGAGGAGACTTGTGCGTGTGTCTGCGACCCCCGGCTTAGGAGTTCCAAGTGGAGTTTTGCGTCTCTGTTTTTGTTTTTACATCCAAACTGAGTGCTAACAACTCCCCTCTTGGGTTATACTTTAAGGTGCTCCATCTCCTGGGCAAGCAGGGCCAGTGGGAAGGAGGGTGAAGAGGGAAGGGGGCCCTGTGGCCGCTGAGGATCTCCAGGTTAGAAACTCCAGATGGAGAGAGGGGGCGGGAGGAGGGGCTGGTGGCAGGTAGGGAGATGGGCGAATGAGCTTTTCTTATTTCTTCTGTCCCTCTCCTCAGAGGGTGGGCAGCCTTAGCAGTCCCCTCCTGGGACAGGCAGCCACAGTATCCCAAGGGCCTGTGTATGCAAAGCCATTTAACACATGGACAGCTCTTCAACAGCCCAGGGGAGGCCACGGTATGTGTTCTTGCTTTTTAGATGTATGCACACAGGGAGGAATTTCTGAGAACACTGCTATCGTAGAGAAGAATTTGAAGATCTTGCCTTTCCAGGAAGGGCTGACTTTGTACCACATGTACCTCTGAGCATTTTCAGAGCATTGGGAGGCAGAAAAGGCAAGGAAGGTGAATCTGAATACAGACATGGACAAATCTGTCCTGCTTAAAAGTTCACCCTGTGGCACCGAGAAACAAAACACAGTTGAGTTTTGTAATATGATTTGGAATTTGCAAAATATGATTCAAACTCATTTGCAGACTTACTCGTAACTTCATAGACAATGAGCCAATCAAGGGTGGTTGTGCTGGGTAAGGTTTTCTATTGCCCCAATCAGCTTCTCCTTTCTCAGAAACAAGCTCTTTGGGAATCTCACATGCCTAGGCACCTGCCCATCGTCATGGAAAATTCCAGATAGGGACCCTGCCAGAGCTGATGCTGCCAGTGGGGTTCTGGGATCTTCCGTTTTGGGGGGAAGGGTGGAGAAAAAGGGGAGGAGGGAAGGCATTACTTCACCTCTCCCTCCTCTCAGAGAGACCAGGTGGCCTCAGGGCCTAACCCTGCTATTTCTTCTGTCTTTTTTTTTTAATATGTTTTTATTATTTTTTAGAGAGAGAGGAAGGGAGAGGGATAGAGAGATAGAAACATCAATGATGAAAGAGAAACATCATCCATTGGCTGCCTCCTACACGCCCCCTACTGGGGATCGTGCCTGCAACCTGGGCATGTGTCCTAATGGGAATCTAACCATGACCACTTGGTTCCTGGGTCGATACTCAACCACTGAGCCATACCGGCTGGGCAAATTTTTATTTACTGATTTTAGAGAGAGAGGAAGAGAGAGAGGAAGAGAGAGGGGAGAGAGAGAGAAGGAGGGAGGAAGGGAAGGAGGGAGGGAGGGAGGGGAGGAGGGAGGGAGAGAGAAAGAGATATTTGTTGTCCCATCTATTTATGGATTCACTGGTTGCTTCTTGAAAATGCCCTGACTGGGGATCGAACCCGAAAACCTTGGCATGTTGGGACGATGCTCCAACCAACTGAGCTGCCCGGCCAGGGCTCCACTCAGTCTTCTGATGAAATAAGAAACCTGCTACCTGTGTCGGAGAGCTTCCTCCTTGATTTCCTGTCTGCTTAGGGCTCAGTATTCATGCTGAACATTCTGCTAGAAATCCCACCTTAAGTTGACTTTGTTTTCTTAAGGGCAGCAAAACTTGGGCCAAACCCACATATATATATATTTTTTTTATTATAAGCAAAACAGAGAAGTGAAACAACAAGGTCAGAGGGTGGTTTAAAATATCTCTTCCGCCGGATGATTTGACAAAAGAGGGACCTCAGGCACCCTGAGCTCTGTGTGCCCCGGGAGCCAGCTCAGCCTTGGTGGCGGGCCAAGGAAGCATGCCCTTCCCCCCGCCCCCCGCCCTTCACCATCGCTGGCCGCATACCTGAAAGTCGTCCACAGAAGGGATGGTCCGGTTGGTGGTTCTCCGTTTGTGCCACTGCCTCAGGGTGTCTCTGGTCTCGGAGCTGAGCAGTCTTGCAGCTTGCTCTTCTTGGAAATTCTTTATCAGAGACAGTGCTCCGTAGGCACTGGTCAAGTAATAGCCCCCTGGAAAGGACAGAGAGGGTGAGTCTCCAAGTTTCCTGCTTTGGTGACGAGTTAGGGGACTTGTAGATGTGCCCTGTATTTTCTTGCATGTCCCGTGGGACCACAGCAGCACACAGCCAAGAGAGCGTCCTTCGCGCCTCCATCTGTCCATTCACGCATCGTCCCCACGGATGTACTGGGTGACCCGTCCCTGCACAGGGACACCGATGGCCCTGGCCGGTGGCCCTGGTTGACAATGCCCTGTGTTCACTGGTGAGATTCCCATTCCAATGGGCGAGACATACAAAAATCTCAATTATTTAAGTGCAATTGTGAAAATGTTTTGCCAGAAAAGGTCAAGCTTTTTGTTGGCCTGAGGTAGGTGGGGAGGCATGTGTGGGTGGGGAGGTCAACTTCTATGATGCCAGAATCATTTACTTTAGCAACAGGAGTCCGCATATCTCCTGGCAATACTTTCTGGGGCTTCCTTTTTTTTTTTTTTTTTTTTTTTAGGAATTAGTATTTTCTAAATTTTAAGTAAAATATATGCTTCAAAAGGGCTGCACAATATACAAGTGTGTTCCCAATAATATGGGTTTTTCTAAAGAACTTCCTCCTGACTCCTTTCCTTACCCTTACTTGGGAACTAAGGTGACACATTTAGGAAAAAAGTAATATACAAGGAGAAGCAAGTAATGTCCCTTTTCTGCAGCATTTAGGAATGATTTCTTATGCTTGGGGAATGTTAAAAGACTACAACACCGTGAGATACACAGAAATGCGTTCATCGTTTTGTCCTCAACTATAAATTGGTGCCTCCTGGGGAACTTGCAAGCACTGTGCTCTAGAACCACTAGGAGGCACCCCAAATATTTATTAAAAATTCCCTAATTGGGTATCCCCATTGTAAAAATTATATATATGTCAGTAGAGGAACGATCCACCCTTTCCACTTGCAAAGGGTGAACAGAAAGCTACTATATTTCTCTAGGACATTTACAAGGAGTTTTCTTCACTTTAAGAAGAAACTGGCTGAAGTAAATGTCCACATGGACACTGCATTTTAAATTGAGAAACATTCTTTGTCAACATACTATTGAATCTCTACCATGAGCCCAAGTCACGTACAGAGCGGGGGCTGGATTTTTAGGAAGTAGAATCTGAGTCCCTGCTCTCCAGAAGTTTATAAATTTACTAAAATAAATGGACCTTGGTAGTTCATTCATGCAGGAACCAGAAGTTGGTTGTGGTGAAATCAGTTTTGTGCAGAAGTACCACCTTCATGGCCAAAGTCTTTAGCTGCCAATGCAAGATCCCAAAGAACGATCTCTGTTCAACAAGTGACAACAGTCAAGATGGCAACTGGTCCCCCATCTGAGAAATGAGCCCCGTGAATCACAGTGGACAGGTAACTTGAGAAAGAGAACACCTCTGTGGTTTTCAGGTCACGGATGGAGGTTTGGGGGTTAGTTTTGTTTTTTGTTAATCCTCACCAGAGATATTTTTTTCCCCATTGATTTTTAGAGAGAGTGAAAGGAATGGGGGAAAGACACACAGAGAGAAACATCAATGTGAGAGAGACACATTGATTGGTTGCCTTCCATATGCATCCCAACTGGGGCCAGGGATCGAGCCTGCAATCGAAGTATGTGCCCTTGACCGGAATAGAACCCACACCCCTTCAGTCTTCAGGCCGATGCTCTATTCACTGAGAAAAACCAGCCAGGGCTGGGAATTTTTAATGGGAGCAGCATCTAGGCCACTCTGAACAATGCACTTTCCATGCACAGATCACATGTCAGGCTTTTTGTGTAGAGTTATTTGAGTAGTTTCATGGCCCCACCAGCTGGGGTAAGTTCCCCAAGGTAGCTCCACACACTAATTCAGAACTGTGAGTAGTTGATTTTTACTAAATATTTGTTCCCAAAACAAATCAGCACATGATTGACCGTGAAATGCAGTAGTACATTTAAATGCCATAGGATTTCAGGATAAATCAATATTGACTTAAATATTCAAGAAAGAGGTGTCTTAGAACTGGGACTTGGAGGGACTGTTACAATCAAGTTTGGGGGAAAGGAATCAAATTTTAGACTCCATAGATCCAGAGACAATACAAGCATTGAACAGACCACCAAACCTCAGAGGGAAGGCAGGGGAGGGTTGGGGGTGAGGGGGCAGGGGTAAGAGATCAACCAAAGGACTTGTATGCATGCATATAAGCCTAATCAATGGACACAGACACTAGGGGATGAGGGCATGCGCTGGGGGAGTGGGAGCAGCCGGGGAGAGGCCAATGGGGAAAAAGGAAAAAAAAATTTTAGACTCCATAGCTGTGATCTGTTCAGGCCACAAGGAGAAAACTCAAAATGCTGGAAGCACAAAACTGACCACACTTTGAAACATGAGGAAGCAATTAGAGGAAGGTTTACATTTCAGCAAAACTATAACCCTACCACAAGAGCTGTGCACGTAAAAGGGCTCTCTGATGCTTTTTCCGTCAATGAAGCTCCCCGCATAAGCAGCAGAAGAGGTGTGGGCTGTACCCCTACAAACCGAAGGGCCTTGGGCTGGCCTCGAGGGCAGGGTTGGTGATGTGGCTCTCTGCTCAGCCGGCTGGGCTGCCCTGCTCTCCCCCGGAAGGCAGCCAAGAAGCCCGAGACACAGCTCTGTGGAAGCAGGCTCCAGGTGGGCATGAGCTCACAGGCTGCTCTGTATGGTCACCAGCTGGGCCCTTGTGTCTCTCTCATGCGTGATTCCCGGAGGTGAGGACAGCAACCTGCTCATCTGTCATCGACACAGTGTCCGGGGCAGTGTCTCCCCTTGGGAGAGGTGGCAGAAATTGGCTGTCTAGATCCTCGGGCCACCAGATGTAAGCATATGTTTGTCCCAAGCACACATGGTCAGCAACGGAATGGTAATTTTCTGAGTGAAACTGGCATGCTCTATCCCTAAAGTGCCAAGAATGTGACATACTTATCACTAGAATTAAACATGATCGGAGCTAAAAACAACAACAACAACAACAAACCTGGATGCACACAAAATTCCAAAAATGATGTAATATGTAATAATGATGCAAAATGTAAGCATGATGGCCTGGGTGCTTCTCTTGGTCACTGGACAAAACCACTTGTCTCCCTGCCCCCCCTCCACACCCCCCCGCTTCAAAGTCCAGGGCAGAGCAGGTAAGGAAAGCTCCAGGCAGGGCCACGGTGGCTCAGGCTGTGAATGAAAATGAGGGGCGATAAACAGGCAAGAGGGGAGAAGGATGAAAGAGGCTCATTCATATCTGTCCAGGGTGGAGGGACCGGATGGAAGGTAATAGAGTTCCCCTGAGTCAGCACTAGCCCTAGAGAGGTGGGAAGGGTGTCCGTATGGGCTCCCAGGAGGAGGACAGACCTGGTAAGAAAGGCCCACGGTAGGAAACTAAGCAACACGTTGTGGGGCTGACGATACATTTACGTTCCCTTCGGGGAAAATGCAAGTATGACGCATTCCCTGGGGAATCCTATCAGCCCCCGGACCTTTTCACTCAAGCCTGGACTAAAACTCACGGGAGAAAAGACGAAAAAAAAAAAAAAGTATAGGCAACAATTCAGAACTCAGGGGACACATGGAAACGGATGACCCGGATTCACAATGCACAGGCCCTGATTGGTTGGTTCTCCTTTAAAAAGACAAGCCCACAGAAGAGCCCCAGTTATTTCTGTTTTTCATCCAACTTATTTCCATGGCAAAATACCTAACTAGTGTGTAAGGAGAAGGCACTTCTGCTAAGACACGTTGGTGTCAGGCAGGCACAGGAAGAAAAATGAACTGCCAAGATAAATCAAAAGCGAACTGCCCAGATTTAAACTCCACTGTCTTTTTATTTTAACCAAGAGCAGACACTATTTTTTTAAATAAAAAAGAAAATCAATGCTGTTTTCTTCTTGAACACCAACTCTTTAAAAAATGATGAAGACCAAGTAACAGCAGGACATTCTCCTGACAGTGGAAATAGTCTCTAACAAATGTTTACGATTTCCTCTTGAAAGTGAAGAAACTATTTCTTTTTTCAAAATACCATTTATTCTATTGAACAACATTTTTTTTTTATTGCAATCAACCAATCTTGGTGAAGTGTAATTATGGCAGGGTTACATTTTTGTGTGTTTTTCCGATGTTTCCAAATTTTCTACAATGACTGTGTATTACTTTTGCTGTTAGAAAAAAAGTCAGCACATTCTTTTAAAAAAGACGAAGACTTAATCCTTAGGATTTCTAAAAAGCTCCCACATAAGTGCTTAATAGGTACAGGGTTTTATTTGTGGGGGAGGGTATATATATCTTTAAAAATTGCTTAATCCTCACCCGAAGATATGTTTTACTGATTTTTAGAGAGACAAGAAGGGAGAGAGAGAAACAGCGATTGGTTGCTTCCCATAACCAATCGAACTTGAAACCTTTTTGTGTATAGGATGATGCTCCGGCCAACTGAGCCATACGGCCAGGGCTATTTTGGGGTACGTTTTGCGGGCTAGAAAAAAGTGGGGGATTACACAATATGTGAGTGTACTACACGCCACCAAATAATTCACTTTAAAAGAGCTGATTTTGTTACGTGAACTTCATCTCAACAACAAGGACAAAAGCCCCGCTCAGCACCCAGTTCCTCCCACCTTCCCGAACGTACGCTACCTTCTCCGTGCAACAGCGAAGGGTCTAAGAGCTCCATCATGTACTCGATTTCCGTGTCCAGCTCCAGCATGTCGCACTGAGCGATGACATAGGTCAGGACTGGTAGGAAGTCGTCGGCGCCATACATCCTCCCTGGGAGTAGGAGGAAAGGGGAAGACAGTAATATTTTTACCAGCATTTCATGCTTTCGTCTCCTGCTTGCTGCTTTTATTAGACAGTGGGGAGTCATCCTGGGGCAATGTGCTATTCACAGGCAGGGGTGGGCGTTTCTGGAATCCGGTGTCGCCCACACCCCTCCCGGCTGCACATGTCCCAGACCAGCCCCAACTCACAGCTTCAGCGTGAGCATCTAGGAGTCAATGAACAGGGGGAAGGTGTTCTTCCTCCCCACCACTGGGAGTTACAGCGACGCAATAGGACCCAGTAACCTCAAACCGTCTACCTTGCAGCAAGTAACGTCACAAGCCAGCTTACAGAGTATCTGCTTATGATGTCACCCCTCTGTGTCCTGTTTCCTACTGCTTCCTGTGCAAGTCAATCCCAAACACCGTGACAGGAGCACACTCAAACCAGGAACAGAGGTAGCTCTCTGCTCCACGGGAACACACGGTTGATTCACTTAAACGTGCGAGTCCAGCCTGTGTTGCATAGATCCACACGACTAATAAATGGCAGAAAAATCTTAGTCCTTATTGCTATTTTTCATGACTGTGGTGATTCTCAGTGAGGGGTGGGAATGGGGATGGGGTGTGACTTTGCCCCCAGGGGAAACTGGCTTTATCTAGAGCAGTGGTTCTCAACCTTCCTAATGACTCGACCCTTTAATACAGTTCCTCATGTTGTGGTGACCCCCCAACCATAAAATTATTTTCGTTGCTACTTCATAACTGTAATTTTGCAACTGTTATGAATGGTCATGTAAATATCTGATATGCAGGATGCATTTTCATTGTAACAAATTGAACATAATTAAAGCATAGTGATTAATCACAAAAACAATATGTAATTATATATGTGTTTTCCGATGGTCTTAGGCGACCCCTGTGAAAGGGTCATTCAACCCCCAAAGGGGTCACGACCCACAGGTTGAGAACCGCTGGTCTAGAGGCATTTTTAGTGTTGGGGCTGGGGGGTGGGGGTGCACATGGCATCTGGCGGTAAACTTACAGGAAACAGCCCCCACGACAAAGAGTTATCTGGTGAGGATGATATCAGGGCTGAGGTTGAGAAACTGCTTCAGAAGAACATAACCCTGTGCAGGTATTTTCTGGGATCTTTCAGACATGATTTCATGAGCTACACAAATATACTTTCTGTACATCAAATATGCTGGCGAAATTAAGAGGTGACGTCCATCTACTACCATGGCTAGCCCAAGAGCTCAGGCATTAACGTGTTTCCTCAACAATCTGAATGCACGCGCATTTCCATGGTAACACACACAAGGCGTGGTTAGCAGGGCCTGTGTTTGCTCTCTGTCTTTCTCCAAGAAGCAATTTCACTTAAATCAGTGGTTCTCCACCTTGGCTGCACGTTAGAATCACCTGGGAATCTTTTTAAAATCCTGATTTCTGGGCCTCATCCTCCGGAAATTCTGTTTCTTTGTTATGGGGTGGAGCCACAACATGAGTAACAAAGAAACAGAATTTCCGGAGGATGAGGCCCAGAAATCAGGATTTTAAAAAGATTCCCAGGTGATTCTAATGTGCAGCCAAGGTGGAGAACCACTGACTTAGAGGAAAAGGTGGTAGTCACCCACGGAATTACAACAGGCTCCCTGAAGACCTAGAACAATGTAGGGCTCGATCTCTGCGTATGAGTCACAGTTATGATCTACAAGAGGCAGCACGGGGAGTCCCAGGGCTTCCTTCCCATTGGAAAGAGTTAAAATAGGAATTCCAAGGACATTGCTTTAGCTTGTGGCAAAGAAGGGAGAGCCAATGAAGTGGCTGTAATGAAACTGCATCATTACTGGATGCTCTGTGTTTCTGACACAGGCTGTAGATCACTTACCACAAACCCTCACTGGCCAAAATGTAGTTGTGATCATCGCTAATATTTCCATTGCTCTCGGGGCTACGCAGGCCTGGTCCCATCTAACACCCACCTTATGAAGGAAAGGGTCACAGCCAACAACAGGTGCAGACGCTGCCCCTTAGAAGGCCAAGCAAGGCGGCCAAAGTCCCCCAGTGAATGAACTCATTTGCAAAGCTAGGATTTAAACTGGGACTCCAGAGACTGCACATGTATTCGCTACTCTACACTAAATCTTTAAAAAACTGGCATCGCAAACACCTTATTGCCCTCATTCGGTTACGCTTTTGGTGCTATTCATCCGTTGCATGCATGTGACTAATTTGCCAGACCCTAGAGTGATGCTTGTATTTTTCTGAGCCACTTGGTGAGAATCACGAGATTGCAAGAGAAACGGGGAATCAGAAAGCTCGGGTCACCTGCCCTGGCCTGGTGGGAAGCGGCGGCCTCACCTGAGTTGCTCTCCATGACAGTGTAAATAAGCTTGCAGACCCTCAGCAGCAGCATGACTTTCTTTTCCGGTGAATACATCTTCTGCATCGTCATGAACTTGACTTTGATTTTCTCCACGTCCACGAAATCGGGGGTCGGGGCGAAGACGCCCAGCTCCTGGGGGTTCCTCTGCCGCACGAGCTGCAGGTTCTCCTTGAGCTGTTTCCACGAGCCGTCGGCCATGTGGAAGTCCTTCAGCATGGCCTCCACGTGCCCCTTCAGCGGCTTCAAGATGCACTTGTGCATGGCCTTTTCCAACACCACATCTGCCAAAGAAAGCGCAGCTACTGTGACCATGGGCTGCCTGGGGACGGACACCTGCAGCTCTATGCAGCGGATAGAAGGCAGGCAGGGTGTAACCTCACACCCATGCCACCCACACAACTCAGCAGCAGTACTTCACTCCCCCTTTCTTCCGCAAAGCCAGGAAGGAAAAAACCTTCTCGGTTTCTCTTGCAAACGATCAATGCAATGAACTATATTTGTTTTAACTACTTTTCTGCCCCCTCCCCCCATAAGCACAGGCAAATATTTTAGAACATTCTTTTGACCCAGTTCTTCCATGGGTCACGGTATTGGCAGGTAAGCAAGTATTATTTTGATGGAGGGATTTTCTAATAGCAAGGGTTCAAGATCCCTTAAGATGTTTTCTGAGGAAAAAAATTCAACTAAATACACATGTTATCTTAGATTGGATTCTGGACTAAAAAAATAATAATTCTTTACTTCATTTCTTATAAAGGATGTTAGTGGGACATTAGATTTGAATCAAGTCTGCAGATCAGGTAACAGTGTTAACACTGAAGCAGTGTTAATTTTACTGTCATTTTTAACAGAATGTTTCTGCTTTTAGGGAATACACACGTAGAGTAAGGACACAATGTCTGAACTATCTCTCAAATGGTCCAGAAAAATGAAGAGAGAGACAGAGAGAGAACAGAGAGAGGAAGGAGAATGTTTCGAATGTGACAAGGCGCTAATATTCTGGGAATCTGGGCAAAGAGAAGACATGATTTCTTAGTACATTTTTGCAACTTTTCTGTAAGTCTTCAATGATTTCAAAATAAAAAGTAAAAGGCTTTGGGGTGTGTTTTTGTTTCGAGTTAGGAAACACCTTTAGGTGGGAGGCATGTTTTCTCTCTCTTCCTTTGAACGGTCGTCCAATGGAGTAGCCTTCTTGGCCGACAGCAAAATGACCCGGACCACAGATCTGGGGATCAGACTGAAGATGATTTCTACAATAATAAGCTCTCTGCTCTTTCAACATCAGCCTTCCAATCTCAAATGTTTGCTTATTCCATCAAAACTACCTGGGTAGCAATCACACCTAACACCTGACACTTCAGTGTGATTTCTTTTGGGGGCACATGGATCCGTTTATTTATATGACTGGGGATGGTTGAGTTATCTCTCTGGCCTTTGGAATTCCTGACACTGGATTAGATCACATTGAATCCAAATTATCACCTATTATTATTAGGAGGCCAAGGACAAGGAAATCTAAGGCAGACACATAAACACTGAAAACAATTTCCCATAACCTAATTAAAGGATGCCTGTAGTTGATGCTGACCCCGCAGTAATCAGCTTCCCCAGCCCAAGTTTTTCTCTGTTCCACTCCCATATCCAACTCAGGAGATCGGTTTGTTTAAACAAAGAGCTTTATTTAACTAGAGAGATTCAGGTTGAAGCAGAAGAAGTTATAAAGTAAGAAGAAAAATCACATTTTTACTTGACTTTTGGCATTAAAACAGATTACTTGGTCTCCATTGGTTATGTTGTGTTAGTAATCTTGTGCAACTTCATAGCATCTTTGACTTTACTTTTTTTTATTACGATGAAAAGTCAGTAATAGCAATTAATGCTGAGCCCTCAGTTGGGCGAGGCTCAAAGTGCTTCATTTCATTATGTCATCTAATTCTTACAACTCTATTACTTTAAAAAATATATTTATTTATTGATTTCAGAGAGGAAGGGAGAGGAAGAGAGAGATAAAAACATCAATGATGAGAGAGAATCATTGATTGGCTCCCTCCTGTATACTTGCCCGCAACCAAGGTACATGCCCTTAACTGGAATCGAACCTGGGACCCTTCAGTCCGCAGGCCGAAGCTCTATCCACTGAGCCAAACTGGTTAGGGCTGCACACCTATTTTAAACAACCAATCCTATTGCTTTTCAAAGTAAATAATCTCTTAATTCTAAAGTTCTTGATGAATATTCACCAGTTTATTCCTCTCTATCCAAAGGTTCCAAAAGCTACATTCGTGATTATAAGTGACTCTGTTAGAATGAGGTCACCCAAGGGGGAGGGAAGTCATGTCAACCATTAACTAGGACTGTACATGAATGTTGATAGCAGCATCATTTCTAATAGCCAAAACCTGGAAACGACCCACAGGCCCATCCCAACGGAACAGATACAAGGATACATTTGTACAGTGGGACTCGGACAATGGAAGATTCATTCATGAAAAACAGGACACTGCTGCTCCAGATGCAACCGGATGACCCTCGCAGACATAATGCTGCATAGAAGGAGCAGACTTAAGAGGATCTCCTTTAGCATTTCTTTTATATAAAGTTCAAAAATAGGCAAAAGGAATCAATGAGGACAGAGGCAGGATGGCAGTTACCCTGAGGAATAAGTGGGCTGTGGGGAGACCCTTCCAGGGGGTGAAGGTGCTCTGTATCTGGATCTGGGTGGTGGCTACATATGTGCACACGTCAAAATTGGTCCAGCTGAGCACTTAAGATATGCACACTCTATGGATGTAAGTTGAACTTCAGTAACGACGTACACATCAAACAAACAGAAACAGCTGGAGACCAGCCTGGGATTTTCTCCTTGAGCCCCAAGGGCAACTGCAAATATCATAGTGAGCCAGGTCATGTCTGGGTCAGACCATTAACACAAACTGTCTCCAGAAGGTGCTGTGCTGTTCCTGGAGGAGATGGGCCACAAGCTCAGTCCCAGCCAGCTGAGCAGGTAGGTCCCTTAGGCGGCATCTGAGCCGTAAACTCCACCCTTACCCATGGATGGGGCTGTGGAAATCTGTAAGGAGGGTTGAAACCTAGGACCCATGGCCAAGTGCCTATTGTTTTGAAACTCAGAATGAAAAACGAATTTCCCAGTGTTAGATTTTTCTTTTAGTCCAGTTTTAAAGGCCATTATTTAGAAACTAGAGGCCTGATGCATGAAAATCGTGCAAGAGTAGCACACACAACCTCCCCTCCCCGCCCCCCCCCGCTGCTAGCACCGGCTTCCCTCTGGCACCCAGGACCTGGGCTTCCCTCCATGCCCCAACTTTGTCTGGAAGGTCATTGGTCTAATTAGCATATTATGCTTTTATTATTATAGATAAGATTGCTCTCTTTGCATTGTTATTCAGGACTTTACTCCCAACCCCCACCCCAAATCCTTATATATCTATGGAATATTAAAGTCCAAGGGACCTGGTACCCAGCTGGTTTTCTCTAATAAGAAAAACAGGTACTGTTTAGGAAGGATCAGGGGAAAGTGATTTGAGTAAACAAAAGGAACAAAAAAACTTTCAGAATGAGGACTAGCTCAGAGAAAACAAACAAGCACCCGGAAGGAAGGGTCATATTTCTCGTAAATTATAGTCTGTGTCCCCAGTGCTCATCTGTAAGGGGAATGGTACAGAGCATGGCAGTTCCTTGAATGCTCCTCACCTTAGTGAGACTTGTTGTGGTTATTTATAAGAAGGTTTGTGTGTCTCCCTCCCGTGCTATGAGTGATCACTCCCCTATTAGGAAGGGAAGACAGATGCCTTCGCCCTGTTGCTTCACTCTGACCGACAGCATGGGTTCCAGAGGCCAGACATCAGAAGGGAATCATCACAAGACTGGGCGATGCTTGCCCAATGCTGTCTAGGGGGAAGTGAGAGTCCGAGAGGTGAAGGTGAAGTCCGGAGAAAATGTGTGTCTTAGAAAGCATGAGGCCTGGCAGCCAGCCCAACTCTCCCTTTCTGAGTAGCCTTGGCCAGGTCACTTCACTTCTCTCACTGTCATTGCCTCGAACTTCGGAACTGCCAGAGGCATCATCGCTCACAGAAGGCAAGACAGAACTAGCTGTCTGCACCTGGTTGGTTCCTAACACAAAACAAAATAAATATTCTCCAGGGGATTCTAACAGAACCCACAGTCTAAACAACGTATCATTCAAAAATGTACAGACTACAACCTAAGGTTATGTGACAAAGATATCACCTCTTGGTTGATGAGGGTTCTAGAATTCTGATAATTTTCAAAAGTAAAGCAGTACAAATAGCAGCGCATGACAAGAGATGGGCCTTTTTCGTAGGAAACTCAAACGTTTATATTGCTAACATTTATTGGGCATCTATTTGTGCCGTTCCTATCGGAGGGGGCCCAGATATATGGCCTCACTACGTGCGAACCTTCACTTAGCGCTCTGAAGTCGGAACGAGTGCCATCCCCACGATGCACAGGGGCGGGAGGCGTGGAAGTCAGATGACTTCCTGGATGGTGGAATGAAATGCAAGCCTGGTTGTTCCTGCTGCAAACAAGTCAGGAGATGGCATGATGGGCCTCCCTCTGTACAAGGGCAAAATGAGTTGATTTTCCTTTATGTGCTCAAGTACTTTGCTTTGGCTGTATAATTGGATTAAGGATGAGACCTGAACACTAGGTGACGCTCAGTGAGTTCCAAGCACTGTTATATACTTCCCACCCCTTCAACTGAGATGAGTACATCATCCTTCTTTGTCTCAGCTTGCGTTTTCTCAGAAGCGGACCCTAAGACAAGGACTTGCGTATGAGAAGTTCACTTGGGAGGCGAGCCCAGGAAGCACTAGCAGTGGACTGTGGAAGTGAGACATGAGGGAAGGCAGCTGTAGTGTTTTACTAACCCAGTCATCACTGGGGCAGCTGGAGCTCAGCTCTGCTAAGAAGTCCAAGACATGGTGTAGAGCAGTGGTCGCCAACCTTTTGGACCTCACGGACCACCAGTGGTCCGCGGGCCACCGGTTGGCGACCGCTGGTGTAGAGCACGCCTCAGTGCTGTCCCACCGGAGGAGAGGCGGCTGCGGCATTGATACACCTGCTCCCTTCAGACCCTGTGGGAGGGCTGCTCCCGATGCTGCACTTCTATCCATCCTGGACAAGGGTCCTGGTGGCACGAGAACACGTCAGGTAAAATTTCACACGTACTGACAGATGGAAGCCTAACAGGTGAGTGTCAGTGGGGCAAGCACAATGATGTCTATGACATTGTGTTACA